CTTAGTATCTAACAGTCTAACTTAATGCACTTAGTATGCTTTTACAAACACAATCTAAAGATTATATTTTTTATCCTCCTTTTTCTTACTGCTGCTTTGTTTATATATTACTTATATATTATGTAAGTTATATATTACTTATATATTTCTTACTGCTGCTTTGTTTATATATTACAGATATTTTTATCATATCCTGTACTCTTTGTGTATCCCTTGACTGACTTTGGGGGTAGTTGATTTAATTTTGCATCTGCTTAGTAATTAATTGTTCTTTCTTCATGGTGGTTGTGTTTCCTCTGGTGATTGCTGTTTAGCCTTAGGAACACTGCCATCTATAGCAGTTCCTCCAAAATACACTGTAGGAACAGTTTGTGGTAGGTAAATTTTCTCAGCTTTTGCTTATCTGGAAATTGTTTAATCCCTGCTTCAAATTTAAATGGTAATCTTGCTGTGTTGAGTATTCTTGGTTCCAAGCCCTTCTGCTTCATTGTACTAAATATATCATGCCCTTCCCTTCTGGCCTGTAAGGTTTCTGTTGAGAAGTGTGATTTTAGCCTGATGGATTTTCCTTTGTATGTGATCTTTTTTGTCTCTCTGGCTGTTTTTGATAGTCTGTCCTTATCCTTGATCTTTGCCATTTTAATTATTAGGTCTTGGTGTTGTGTTCCTTGGGTCCTTTGTGTTTGGATGTCTGTGCATGTCCATGGCCTAAGAGACTATCTCTGTCCCCAGACTGGGGAAGTTTTCAGCAATTTCCTCTTCAAAGACACTTTCTATCCCTTTTTCTCTCTCTTCTTCTTCTGGTACCCCTGTAATATGAATATTTTTCCATTTGGGTTGGTCGCATACTTCTCTCAATATTCTTTCATTCCTAGACACCGTTTATCTCTCTGTGCTGCAGCTTTTTTCTATTCTTCTTCTATAATTTCTATTCCATTTGTAGTCTCTTTCACTGTATCTAATCTGCTTTTAAATCCCTCCACTGTGTTTTTCATTTCTGATTCTGTATTCCATAATGTTTGAGTCTCCATCTGGAATTCTTTTCTGAGTTCCTTGAGTATTTTTCTGAACCTCCATGAGCATGTTTATGATTTTTAATTGGAAATTTCTTTCGGGAAGATTGATGAGTTCAGTTTACTTGACCCTTTTATTGGTGTTTGTGGGATTTTGGTTTGAACCAGGTTTCTTTGACTTTTCATATTTCTATGTGGCACCCTCTATTACCCAGAAGCTGTACTCTCTGGATCTGCTCAGCCCTTGGAGCGATGTTGGGTGTATTGGGAGCAGCGCTTATGCCTGGGGAGAGGAAAGAGATGTTTCCTGCTTCCAGGCTGCTGGGCCTGTCTCCACTGCCAGAACCAGTGGGTTGAGCACAAAGGTGGAAGCCTCTATGGTCTGCGTTTGTAGCTGCTATAGGCGGAGTTTCCCTCTGGTGCCCTGATGCTAGGGCAGTGGCTGCCGGTTTGCGAGCCAGGTGTAGGCTGGCTGCGAGGAAGGCGAAGCAGGCTGCGTATCGCAGTGGGGAGCCTTGGAGCTGTATCGCCAGGCCGGGAAATGGTGCGTCTGAAAATCCAGGAAGTTCCTAACCTTCTTGGCAGAGTGCGCATGGACAATTTTGTCCACCTTTCCTTTCTTCTGGGCATTAAGCTCTGTGAAATATTTGCCCCTTTAGCAGCCCTCTCATTGTTAGGAAGTCTCTCAGATTGCCCACGCCTTTCTTTTGTCCCAGAGCATCCAGATATGGATCCCTGTTTTCCACGAGCAGCTGGAATCTCAGTCTCTCCAGGTATTCCACCTGTCTTAGCTTTCCAACCCCACTAATCACCAGAGCAACATGCAATGTAGGTTCGTGCTCCCAGAGAAGATCTCCAGGGCTGGGTGTTCAGCAGTCCCAGGGCTCCACTCCCTCCCTGCTCTGTTTCTCTTCCTACCACCAGTGGTCTGTGGTGGGGGAGGGGCTTGGGTCCCGCCGGATCACAGCTTTGGTACATTACCCTGTTCCGTGAGGTCTGTTATTTTCTTCAGGTGTAGACAGTCTGGCACAGCCTTCTTTTGTGTTACTTTTTCAGTAGTTTTATTAATGATATTTTCATATTATATGTGGTTTTGCGAGGAGTCCTGTGTCTCACCTCTCACACCGCCATCTTTAATCCTATTAATCACTTATTTTATGAATTATCTATGTGGTTTGAAAATATTTCCCTCCAATTCTGTTTTCTGGTTTTTTATTTTATTGTATAGAAGGTTTTTAGATGCATGTCATTCCACTTGTTAATTTTGCTTCTGTTGATTTTGCTTTAGGTTTTGTATCCAAGAGATCTCTGCTAAGACCCATCTCAAGGAAGTTTTTTTGGTATGCTTTTTCTAGGAGTTTCATGGTTTCCTGTCTTATATTTAAGTCTGTTTTTTATTGTGAGTGGTGTAAGATAGTGGTTTAGTTTAATTCTTTTGCCATGTGGATATCTAATTTTCCCAACATCATTTATTGAATAAACCGCCTTTTTTCCATTGAGTACTCTTGACTCTCTTGTTAAGGATTAATTGACTATATATACTTGGAATTCTCTTCCATTGGCTGTTTTTATAGCAGTGCCAGACTCTTTTCATTACTGTAGCTTTGTCATACAGTGTGGAATCTAGGAAGTGTGATGCCTTCAGCGTTGTTTTTTTTCCTGTGGATTGCTTTGGCTATTCTAGGTTTTTTGTAATTCCAAATGAATTTTATGGTTTCTCTTTATTTTCTGTACAAAAATGCCATTGAATCTTGATAATGACTGCACTGACTCTATAGATGGCTTTGGGTAGTATAAGAATTTGAACAATATTAATATCTTCCAATCAGTGAGCATGGAATATCTTTCCATTTTTTTGTGTCTTCAGCTTCTTTCATCAATGTCTGATAGTTTTCAGTGTACAGATCTTTCATCTTCTTGGTTAAATTATTCCTAAATATTTTATTATTTTTGATGCTATTTAAATGAGTTCATTTTCTTTAATTTTTTAAATCAGATAAATTGTTGTAATGTATAGAAATGCTACTGATTTTTGCATGTTGATTTTGTGTCCTGTAATTTTACTGAATTCGTTGATTAGATTTAACAGTTCTTTGGCCGATTCTTTAGGATTTTCTATATGCAAGATCATGTCATCTAAAAACAGATAATTTCATATTTTCCTCTGATTCAGATGCCTTTTATTTGTTTTCTTTGCCTAATTACTTTAGCTTGGACTGACAGTACTATGTTGATAGGAATGGTAAGATTGGACACCTTTGTTGTGTTCTTAATATTAGAGGAAAAGCTTTGAACCTTTCACCGTTGAGTATGATATTAGCTGTAGGCTTGTCATATGTGGTCTTTATTATGTTAAAAGACAATCCTTCCCTATCCAGTTTGTTGAGAATTTTTGTCATGAATGGATGTTGAGTTTTGTCAAATGGTTTTTCTCAATTAGAATTAACATATCCTTCTTTTCTATTAAGGTGATTTTCTAAGGTTTTCTATCCTTCTTTCTATTAAGGTGATTTGTATATGTTGCACTGTACTTTTTTCCCAGGAATAAATCCTAGTGACCATGGTGTATGATCCTTTTAATATCCTTTTGAATTTGGTTTGCTAGTATTTAGTTGAGATTTTTTGCATTTGTAATCATGAGGGATACTGACCTGTAGTTTTCTTGTCATGTCCATGTCTGGTGCTCAAGCAAGGCTAAAGAAAAGTGCATTACTTTCCCAGTGAGAAGCCAATAAGATAGTTTTTTCTTTCCCCTTGTTATGGAATAGACGGAAATTAAGAAGAGGAGACATGTAACAACTGAGAGACAAGAATCTCTGTTCACAAGAGAGAGCCTGAAATTTTCATTTTTTAAAAAATGTAAATGACTTAAGAAGAAAGGAGTGTTACTTGTTTAACATTTTGTAGTTGGTTGAGCAGTAAATATCTTTTCAAAATGTGTGTTCCTTACGAGTTCCCGGCAAAAGTAATCAGAGATTAAGCATTGCATATTTGGTGAGTACAGTGATGCATACGTATTTTAAAGCTATATATTAGCAATGTTACCCTTTGGCCAGGTTCTATTACTAAAAATTCCATTTTTCTCATTCTGAAGTTTTAAAGCATTTGTGTAATGATGGTATTTTAAAACCTTGCTTCTTGTTGTGGCGGCTGAATCACTTGAAAGATGTTCTTTTTTGTTTTGTTCACTGTTGCTGAGCCTTATCATTTTGGTATGGGACTAATTTGTCAAATTATAACTGTTTCTGTTATAATGATAAAATTTTCTTAAATTGTATTTTAAAATTACCAGAATAGAACCAACGTTTTAATTTTTAAGAGACCTTATGATGTCAAAAAACTATTGGGAATAATAACATTTTAATAAGTAGAATTTAATAATTATGTTTTAATTTTTCAAAAATGTTTTCTTTCTGCTTATGTACTTTGACTAATTTAATCCTGCACAGCATTCAGTGATCTTGTTTTAATATTTTTTTCTGATTTCAAGAAGTGAAAACAGTATCTGAAAATTTCTAGCAGAATGTTGTGTTGCTCATTTATTTCTGTGTCAGTTAAAAGTTAATTGAATATGCTTTGTAATATCTGACTAATGCAGTGTATATAAGCAATACTAAAATTGTAGTTTTATGATGGCCAAAGAAGTGTCAGTGGTTTAAAAAGATGTGGATCTTAAAATCCTTTTGAGTAATCATTGTAAACATTTATAAGCTTAATTTTTCATGGATATGTGTATTTGAAGATAATATGATGTGATTTGTACAGCCATTTTTGAATAGTTGAAACTTAAGAGAATTGCAAATTTCTGTGTCTGGTGAAAATAAAATAAATATGAAATATGGTAGATACTTTTTTTTTTGTCTTATGTAAACTGACAAATGTTACTAAAATAACATTTTAGTATATATTTTGGTTTTTATTTTTTCCATGTTAAGTGTGCATGGTCTTCAAAAGTTTACCCCTCATTTGTTGTTATAATTTGAACAGGTGTCTCAACTCTTGTACCTACTGCAAAACTAAACACGCCAGAGGGGGTTTGGCCAGTTATCCAGTTGATGAACTAGTAGACAGAGCCAAACAGTCCTTTCAAGGTAAGAGTTTCTACAGTTACGCACGATTTCATCTTCTTAATAAATCCTAGCAGTCTTCTAAGTAACGTTTTACTTTAGAGACAAGCTTTTTAGCTCCCTGAGGAGCTGACAAGTATTTCGGCCCATCTAATAAAGGATGTTCTCGGATTCCGTCAGGTTATAGTGTCCACATTACTTACTCTTCTTCCCACCACTCTTCCATTTTCTTACGACTCTAAGGTGAGCGATATCTTTGGATTCCATGCAAATGATGAGAAAAAAACAACAACAGCAAATCCATGATCTTCTTAGGTGTGGTAAGACTTTGTAAACTGAGTAAAATACTTTTTGAGACTTCTGCCTTTTTCTTTGTTAGTTTTTGGACCATTTAGAACTACCAGGGGTTTCTCGGAATCTTGGAAGAAGGTGGGTCTTGCTATCAGCCTGTAAAGCTAACCCTCTGCGCCCGCAGCACTTTGGACCTGTAAAGAGCGGAACCGTGGAGTCCTAATGGGCATCACCCTGTGTGGGCGGCAGCCACTTCTGAATCCTCACCCGCCGGGAAGTGCGATTGTCTAGGCATCTCTCAGCATATAGTCGAAACTTCCCTTTTACACGAGTCCCGGTTGCAGTGACACATACGGCTGAAGCCATAAATTTCCTCTTTAGTCTTGCCTATGTGTATGTGACATTGGCGTGTTTTTAAAGCCAACATGAGGTGACCTGTTGCCTCATCATCTGTGGTTAACAGCTGTTGGCAATGTGCACTTCCGTTGAGCAGGTGACTTGGCACACTGCCTCTGTACCTCACACCCTGAACCTCGGAACGTATGAGTTCCAAACACAGGTCTTTATTTAGTCTATGTAAGGCTTTTATCAGCATGAATTTGGAATGCTTTTTATACTAGAAAAGTTCCCTTGATTGATTTATTAGCATCACCCAGCAACTTTTTCTCCCTTTTTGTTCTTAGCTCAGTCCCTCCTCCCTTCACATTCAAGGTGTGTTGAATGAGGAATGAAAGGGAACTCGTTGACTCTTGCCAGTGTTCTGCTGTAGAGCCAGGAGATGATCTAATCCGAGGACAAGTCTGGGTGGTTGTCTTTTCTGCAACATGACTACTCTACGAATTTTTCAGAAGGGGCATAAATTTGCACAGGAACCTGTTCTATTTGAAAAATGATGCCTTTGTGGCATTCTTAATGGGTGTTTGTTTTTCCACATACCTGTGAGATAATCAGGATATTAAAACTGCCAGATCTATCCAAACCCTGCAGATTGGTAGCATAAGAATTAGTTCCTTCAAGGTACTTTTTCAACATTATGCATTTCTAAGTGTAACTACATAGAATTTTTTAAAATCTCATTTTACTCTTAAGATTTATTTGAAGAATTGAAAACTGTTAAGTTACCATGTAGGAAGTGAAAATATTCTCATGGCTCCCTCATATGTATCCTCACTTGTAACCTGTACTAACACTTTGATTGTTTCATGACTTAATATGGACACATTTTGTATTATATGTGACTATAAACTGGTTGTAGGATTTTCTAAAGGCATCCAACATAGCTATCTGATCTACCTTTAGAAATGCCGTCTAAGCAATACAGGCATAGTGTGTTACTGTCAGACTTGAGTTATTAATTAGCATTGTTATAATCAAGTAGGTTGTGCTGGTTAAGGTGAATGATGTCAAAGACTACAAGAGGTTAGCGGTGACTCTGGCTATTTATAGGTACAGTATTAGAAGATACTTAGTGCTTTCATCATCATCAGTGTATATGTGTCTGTGTGTGTGTGTGTACATAGGTCTGTATGTGCCATTTTATTGCCAATCATGGGACGTTTGCAGTGTGAGGTTTTTCTCTTGTCTTGCTTTCTGTATATTAGATTTGAAACTGAATGCTAGCTTTTAGACTGGTGAACTCATTTGATTGATATGTGGTACTGTTACTAAAAGATTGAGGCCATAACTTCTAGGTGAGCCATGTGCTTAGGAAAATTTTAAGTCGTCCAGCATTTGGTATTTTTTGCCATAGGAGAGAGTGAATTTGAAACGGCACTCTGCTTACTACCCACACGATCTGAACGAGGCCCGTGGCCTCTCTGGGCCGCAGTCCCTCTTTGCGACGTGAAGTGTTGTTCGTTGATCAGATTTGAGAGGACTTATGTGAAGTTATTGGTTGTGCCATTATGAGGAAGATATATTGCTTAAACTGAAGGAATTGAAAATAAATCCAGGAAGTCTAATTTTGAGTGAGAATATTAGAATGTAATAGTCATTAATGACTAAAATCAAATGACAAATTTTTGCTTTTAAAATTCATTCTCTGAAAATGTTTGTTATAGATACAAACTATTAAGTATGACAATTGCCTTTCATTGTCTTAATTTGAGAAAAGCCAGTTAATGCTAACTGTGGCCTTTTAATCCCTTTCCTCTCCAGGAAATATTAGTCTCTAAGCTCACATTTTAAGGACTGAGGTCATCCATTGTCTTTTTTCCTGCGAACAGCACTGGGATTTTGATAGTCTTACAGAATTTCTATGTTTCAGCTTTAAAATTGTGAAGCATAGTTATATATAATAGAATAAATAACTTTTTTTCTCATCACTTTTGCTGCTGCTTTTGTAATTTAGGTGTGAAGAATATTCTTTGGGCCAGAACCCCCCTTAAATTCTACATTCCATCATTATTAAGTTGTCTGCCCAATAATGAATGATAAACATTATCGTTCTTTGGTTATTTTAAGACGAAAAGGCTAAATATGCTGCCAATAAATTTTAGTATGTGTAAAAGTGCTCAGTGAGTTGGAGTTAAATTTCCCACTCTGAAATTTACATTTCCTTTCTTTCTTTTAAAGCTAATGACTGTTGGAAACACAAAGTGATTTTTAAAACCTCTGAACCAGTTGTAGAATGGGGATTAAAACTCAGGTTGCCTATCATTTGATACAGTAAGATAACAATTTCTTTCTGAATAACATGTATGAAACATTTTGTATTCATAAAAATTTATTTCTTGTAGTCTAATAAGGGCTAATCAAAGGCAAGGGAACATTCAGAGGAGATTCTGAAATAATCATGAAATATTCTGAATGGAAAATGGTTTCTCAGAACACTAAAAATATGCTGACTGTACAGTCAGCTGCCAAAAATGAGAAAGGGGCTCATCAACTTGAATGGACAGCTTTCAGTGAAAATTATTTATATTTTTTAATAGAATTTTTTGAAGTTTACCTATTACAAAAATTGCAAATATATATTTAATTGGTTTCCTAGATTTTTTGTCCTTCTTTCTCACTTAACTGAGGTGCCTTGACATTTTCATTGACTATTTTTACCTTCTCAATGTGTTTATCATTTCTGTGGGCAGTTCTGTTTAAAGGATTTACCAGGTAACCTCTGGATATCATCTCATTGTTCTAACCAAATGTTGGGAATTCTTCCCCCTTATTTCCTCACCTCTGCGGAATTTAGGTTTTAAAAATTCCTAGGCATAGCAGTGTTTGGGCACTGGACTTTGACATGGTTGCATTTTAGATATCTAGAAAAACATGTCAAACAGTGACCAAGACTCTGCTGGGGCCAGAATGAATTTACAAGCTAATGTTTTCTAGGATATTTGTATTGATTTTTCTCTAGCAGCTAATCCATCAGCTTCAGTTGTATAAGTGATGGAACAACCTTTTTAAGTGTGCTGGTGAGTGGTGTGGAAACACTACCTTTCACTGCTGTGTCTGGAGTCAGACGTAGAGATGATCGATGAGCTATTTTTATAGCTATTGTGTGCTTTTCTAGAGCTCATTTGTGTTACTACCTTTTTCTCCCTCATCAATCTGAAAAACCCCCATAAGATAAGTGGCACAAAACGGTTATGGAAAGGTAAATAAAGTAAGATGAAAAATTCAAAGCAGGGAGAAAATTTCTTGGTTCTTAATGATTTCAGTATTAATGTTGGAATTTTAGAAAATGAACTCTGATTTCAAGACTTGCAAAGATACTGTCTGTTGTGTGTGAGATTGTGAAATACAACTGGAAAATATTGCTTCCTGCCCTTTTAGATAGGAAAGGACATGAGTAATATTTGATTTTCTTGTGTGTAAACCTCACATTGTTGTGTTGTGTGGTGTTCATCAAGCTGCATTTGACTAACCACCATTAGTAATGATTACTGTGTATTGATTTGGATCAAAGCTCAAAAGGCCAATTTATTGTGTCCTGTTAATTTTTTTTTTATTTTTTATTTTGATATCATTAATGTACAATTACTTGAACAACACTATGGTTACTATACTCCCCCCATTATCAAGTCCCCCCACATACCCCATCACAGTCACTGTCCATCAGTGTAGTAAGATGCTATAGAATCATTACTTGTCTTTGTGCTAGACTGCCTTCTCCATGTGTGTGTCCTGTTAATTTTTATGGCAGTTATTTAAATGTCTCTTTTATTCCTTTATCTTTTCATTTGTGCTATGTTCATGTAAAATTTAGAAACCTATTCTATAGGATTAATAGTGTTATTTTACATGTTTATTATATATTGTCAACGTCCAAAAAAAAATTTTAGGCAGCTTACATTACTATATGTAATGGATCATGAAAATGAAAGCTGTATGAAATGCTGTATTGTGTTTAGAAAGAGGGCAGGTAATTTTACCAACTGGTGAATCCTGGCTTTCCAAAAGAATAAGGAATTGGGGTGATTTATATAATTTGAAATGAGTGTATAAAAGGAAGTATGTAGTTTATAAAGAGAAATGTATATGTTTCTAAGCTCTAAACACACTGCAAATTGTTATTTTCATGCACCCTTTCCCTGAAGATAGTCAGTGATGGAATAGAGATGGTGAGACATAGAAATTCAAGATAGCATCTCTATATGGCCTACTGATTCTTACAAAACTCCAAAACATAGTATTAAAATGTGACTTAAAAAATTATGAGAGAGCTGAATAAATGTTCTGTAAATAACTTGATAGGGGGATATGACAAGTCGCTAGTTATTAATCAGATATTC